GTTTGATTACAGTAGGGAAATCTGGGGGATCATTTATGAGGGAAGGTAGAGGAGCCAATAGAATTTGGCGAATATCTAGAGCAATAAATCTGCAAACATTTGCACATAGTGGTTGGATGGAAACGGATGGTTTCGGACTAAAGCGGGTGACACGGCCTGGCGGCACTGCCCAGAATCGGGTATTCCAAGGGATTCAGCCTTCATTGGGTGAACCCAGATCCTTCGCTGGGTTGGCTGGGGTTTATCGAGTTGGGTGGTGGTTGCTGGTTTTTTGGTTGGGCAAGGGTTCTTGGTCACTCAGCCGAGGTCACGGATCGAGCCCGCGGGGGTTTTTGGAGCTTATTTTTCCCGCTCGTGCCGTCTCCTCCTGAACAATGGTCCAAGCCGACGGGACTGGAAACCTCTTTTACCAGGGACTTATAGGTGCCCGGAAACTGTCTCAATCAAGATATTCTTTTAATTATTTAAGGTTTCAGTAGTATTCGGCCTTCCCTCGATTCTTGTACTTCCAGCAATCAATAGCGGATAAAGATATGTGGTCACTTCGAGTTCGTCTTTCTTTACATCCACTGGGGCTTCTGTTTATATAGCCTTCCATCATACTAAAAGACTTGACTGACAATCAAATGTCTTAGGTGAGCGATACATTGAGGCGGATTTTATTTTAGTTCGAATGCAATTTATTTGCTTTGCCTGCATGGCCTACGGAGGTGTTTCCACCAGTCTACAACACTACCATCTGTTGACCAGGTATTGGATATCCGCCAGTTGTGGATTAAATTATTTAAGGTGCTATCACACATCTAAAGCACTAGGCTATGGGGATATTTTCACCTATTCATTTCACATACGGACCGGGTGGGTTCGCTGGGCTAACAGAAACTAATGTTCGGCCAGGCGGAACTTTAGTTGGGCCTGAGTAGAGTCAGGTGGGTTTATTTTCAACACCGGTCAACAACCCATTCAAAGGCGACAGTGTTCCCAACCGTCCGGGGCGGCTCTGTGTAGTCCATCCAGCGCTGTCGAAGTCGGGTTGTAGTATTGATTGGTAGGACAACTTGAATATTCATAAACGAACTCTCATGTATCCTCCTGGGCTTAGAACCCGTACCATTTGTCATGACTGCAATTCCATAGCTCGTGGTCGAGTTGGGTAACAAAATTCCACTGTAATTATGAATGAAACAAAGGCAAACCTCGTGGGGTTGTTGCAGACCTGGGTCTATGGCAAGTCTAATGCCTGAACTTCCATAGCGTACTCTGGTGTACACAGTGCTTCGAGCCTTGCAATAGGTCGGGCCTTCGTTGGCCTAGCCCGGGCTATTCGTGGGGCTGGGTCGGGCTCATTGGGCTGGGTTCACTCATGGGCTTCCTTGGGCTGGGCCGGGCTGAGGGGGGGACAAGCCCGGCGGCCCGGTCAAGGATTAGCCTTATTTTTAAGGTTTGTATGGTGTCTTGCAATCCGTATCACCGGGAAAACGATTGTCCCAGCACATGGCTTTCAGGAAGCGCGTTACTACAAGCGATAAGATCCAACCCAACCATCTGTATATCTAGAATGTTTAGTGCAGAACCAATCCATATTGGATTCATGTGCTCTCGGGTTGTCGCGCGGTTTGGGGGTTTGGGAGTTCGGGTCTCGTCTTGCCACCCAATGAAATATCAGATCTTTTCGGTATCTCCCTCCTTCTTCATATTTCCCACACCTATGTTCACCTCTGATCTCGCTTCCCATTTGTTCCTAATACCAATACAAACCCGATGAGCTTCTCCTGTAACAGCGGTAGTTTTCTCTCAAGTCCTCCACCTATTATGCTATCACCATGTCCACAAGCAGAATTTTATCACCATCGATTCTACGAGTCTGAGCTTCCCGGTTCAGAACACTTGGAAGATCAGGAATTAGACCACGATCGCCTATTACCACCAAATGCCAGTATCAACCAATCACGAAAAAAGAGAAAAAGCACACTTCCTTCCTCGTGGGTATGGGGTACTCCGGAGTCTCCTAATGAGAAGTTAGTGATTGAGTCAACCGAGTGCCTCCGGAGTTGGCAGTCCATATAAAATTTACTCTTTCTACTGAAAATAATCACTACTATTTCTCACTGTGCTGTGTTCATCTCCTATTTCAAGCACCATCTGTTCTCATTGGCAATTCTGTATTTTAATCTAGTATTAATAGATCTACATTCATCTCTTTTATGGCTGTTCACCTGTGCGGGGGCCCGATGGGCTCGTTGGGTTAGCCAGGGCTATACCTCCTTGGGCTTGGGCTGGGCCGGGCCGGCCCTTTTTTCGACCCGGGCTAGCCCATTGCAAGGCTTGCAGTGCTTCCAACGGGCCAGGACAAGGCAGGCCACTCAGAAGTATAGCCTGGGCGGATATGGGCCGAATTCCATTTGCCTACCGAAGCCTATCTTCACACACCGGGACGGCGCCAATACGCTGTGCCCGAGGGATTGAGAAACTACGATATTGTCATGGAAACCAGATTGTCCGATTTTGGAAAGGTTTTCGGGCACTGCTCCTTTGTTTTCATTCTTTCCTTTTGTGTTTCATTAATTCTTTCTCCTAGGGATATGATGAGAGGTTCCGATTTGGTTTGCTCATGAGAATGCGTAGGAAAGCCGGTAGCTTTCACCAGGGTTCCGAATGGTCCGCGGAAGACTTGACTGGACCAGCTATTCCGGTGAGAAGTCAAGTCAAGTCTAATGGTGGAAATTAGACCGACCTGGACAGTCCCGATTATGGGACTGACTAGACTAGGACTGGTCTGACTAGGCCCGCCAAGCAATAGGATATTCACTGCCCATTGACCGAATTAGCAACCTATTTTCCTTTTTACTATTTTTATAACAGTTTATTACGTTCAAATAGATTCACCAGTATCAATTGCTTTTCGGAGCATTAGGTGAATGATATTACATGACTACGCAGCACTCTATAAAGACCGGTCTGGGACCAGCCCAGAACCAGACCGGACCACCCGGGTTAGTCGGGTCCAGTCACGGTGTCGACCAGGACTGCCAAGTCTGGTCCTGCCTCCACGACCTGACCTGTCGGACTATTCGGAACCTCTGGCTTTCCCAGCTTGTCAAGATTTCTTTTCTTTTTTTTCACTGGAAGTAAATCCTTCAAAAACGGAGCTACTACCTGGCTGAGTAATAATTATTGGAGAGAGTTCATGGGATAGATGAAAGGTTGATAGAAGAAATGTGAGATTAGACGGAAGTTAAAGACAAAAGAAAAACATATATATGGTTAAGCATACTTCAAAAGGCTTATAGTATGGGGTCTATACAGCCTATAAGCAGGCCCGCGTAGGCCCGACCTAGGTACTTCGAGGCCTGTAGGCTCGGGCCAGGCTAGATCCTCAAGAGCTCTCCTAGTCCAGGCCTGGCTTTCATTCGGCATAGCCAACCCGGCCCGTTGGGACATCTAGGTTCACCGCTATCTGTTCAGCTCGTTAATCGAGTTCAACGGGCTGGGGTCTTAGGCTCACTGGGTTATTCACCTGAGGTCTTCTCGATGGCTTGTGGTGTGCCACTACAGCCTTTCCTGCCCTCTACCGCCCACTATCCTTGAGCTTTTAAGTAGCGGGTAGATAGTATTTTGCACTCCCGTCCTACATTGCGCTGGTCCTGGCACCTAGTGCCACATGGGCACAACCGTTGCGAACAGACACAGGCGGTAGAAAATCGTGCTCTCGGGTCACGCCCGTCCTCCTCTGATTACCCCTTCAACTATCATAGTAGGCCCATCGTGCCATAAGTGAGATGGTCTAGAGGTTCAGTACAAATTGCAAGGTCATTGCAAGCCACGGTAAGAAAGTAATGTTCGCTAGCTTGGAAGCGAGGACACTCCTCAGCCTCGATTGCTAGCGGTACCCTTTTTTCTTAACGCAGAGTTGTGGCCCACCACAGCAACCTTTTGCTTCGTCATCGCTTTTTGGCTCAACACCACTTGGCCGTTTGTTGTCAGTTGAGATGTAATCGAACAGTTGTATTAAATTTTGAGGAAGCGTAAGAATGATTTTCGAGGAAAGGAAGCATAAGTTAGTCACTATGTGACGTATTGTGTGGGGAAGAGTATCACACACAGACATGAATCACTTTGGATTCGAACTTTCGTTTATTCCTCACCTTATAAAATTCACCCAAGACAGACCTCCGGACCCCCCTCAAAAGTGGCCCAACATATTAAGATCGTATTTGGGATACTGTGACGCTCAAGTTCTATCCTGTGGATTTTGAAATGCTATTAGTTTTTCAAGGTGGGGTTTAGATAAGGCAGTTATAGGGTTTGTTGAAGGGAAGGAAGGAAAAACTTCGGTATGATACGTGAGGAGAATTTTGTCTGCACTTCATCTTCATTGATAAGAACCGAATGGAAACCCCGTCATCAATCAGTGTGAAAATACGAACAAAACCCGGTAAGTGCGAGTGTACGAGTGGAGTACAGTTAATGGGCAATCTTTTCCTTTACGAACAAGAACCTATCGATAAGAACTGTAGTCGAATTGATTCCCCTTATTTCGTCAATTTTCTTTTCTGGACCCGATATTGGTTTCTCAATAACCCCCTTGTCTGTGCTATTTCCTCTTGACACTTTCAGGACTTCGGTGAAATTGATAGGTTTGGACATTGATGGTGAGTTTTAGCGGATGCACTTCGCCGTCTTATCTTCTAGGCAGACCAACACGTCATTAGGCAATGGAAGGAAACCAGCATACAGACTAAATCATACATTGATGTTAAGCCACAAAGCTACAATGGATGACCTAGGATCTGGTGTTGAGCTATAGCGGTTTGATACGTGGAGACGTCGCCCACGCAGGAGAAGTGCCCCAAACCCTAAGCCAGCGCGTAATCGTCGGTTGTGGCGGGTCGTGACAACCTCGGCCCGAGTATCGTACTCATACTTCACGTTGCGGCCATCGAGGACACAAATCGAACCTTCATCAAGTCTTGGTTACCCTTCCGGTTGGACAGGGTTAGGGCGCTGATTGCTGCTCACCACCCAGCCACCGTATAAATACCACACCCCACGACAACCCACCACCACCCACCACAATCACCACCGCGAAGGACACTTTTCTCCTACGATACACCGAACATCTCTCTGACAACCATCGTCCCCAAGGACGTCAACAACCTTATTACAACTCAAAGCCGCAATTTACACAAGTAATCGACATGGTACCTGATCACTCACCCATTTCAATCGCAACAACCTAACCATCTCTACCAACAACAGGGCAAACGTAAGAGGTCGACTCGCAAACCTAACGTCTTCAAAAAGGTATGTCACGCTACGCCATGCAAAACTACCCTGTCCATCCCCTCCTGCTAACGAAATTATAACCACAGAAGGAGCCTCTCTCAACCACGTTTATGTGCCTTTTCTGCAATAACCAAGACACGGTTGCCTGCGTGCTCGATAAAAAAGCCGGCATTGGCAGCTTGTCATGCAGAGCCTGTGGACAGAGATTCAAGATGAACATTAATTGTATGTGACAGTTCTTTACCTCACTACCTTTATTCCTACTTTTTCTTTTTATTCTTCTTTTTTCACTTGGTTTGATTCAGTTTGGCTTGGCAAATACACATGTTATCATCCTTGGCGTTGTCTCACGGAGCTGCCGCCATCTCGGGGGATTGATACCATATGGATGCTGGCCGTTATTTCTGAATGCATATGAACCAATAAACATTAACGTATTTGGATTGGGCCAATAGATTTGTCGGCCCCGATAGACGTATACAGCGAATGGGTTGACGCCTGCGATGAAATTGAAAACCCCAAAGTAAAGGCTCCCCGCCGTGTCTGTGGCAACAGTCGTGATGTAGGAAGAGGTGCTCGAGAAGGAGTGGGCGGAGCCGCTAGAAACAAGAATCCGCGAAATCACGGTGAGCGCGATGAACAAGCGGATGAGGACAGCGATGACAATCATGAGGGGTATGGTGGGAAGGTTTAGGTTATGGTTGACGATTATGAGGAGGAGTTTTAAAAGGTGCTACAGCACTATGGCCACAGAATTACCTTTGGGATGATGAATGAATGAGTTGGATTTTATCAAGTACATGGCGAAGTTGATGTTACCCTAGTCTTTATTTTTGGTCTTTCCGCTTTTTTATATCGTTGTTGTAAACGCACAGTGGTGCGCTCTAGATTCCTGTTATAGAAAGGATTTGGTTTCTATTGAATTCTATCTTCGTTTACTTTCACATTTCTATACAGGCTCTGTCACTACTCGGTAATTGAGTAGATGGAGAAACCTATCAATTGCTTCATCTAAACATGCCTAATGGATGGATGAACATATCCTTTCTTCCCCTCTATATAGGACCATAGATTATATGGAAGACTGCTATTTCTTTCTGTGGAAAACTCTGTTTACTTACCATCGGTTTTACCCAACCTTTCGTTTCCGGAATCGGCCAACCTGACGGTGGGTGCATCCATGGCCTTGAAAAAGAGCCAAACATAACACGACGTTATCAACGCCGAAAATGACACGGAAGGTGCCAATCTCTTGAACAAAACAGAATCCATTGCCAAAGTCCCCTGATCCCTGAATGGCAAAATTAATCGCACGACTTTGTTACCAAACAGACATATACCGAATAGGTCTCAATGACCCGGAGGGGTATATAAACGTAACAAACGTCTCGGTAGGCCCCCTAATCCACAAACGTGGCCACAACCCCCTGAACAGGAAAGGGTCTAACAAAGCTCCTGATGCCTTTAGGATGAGCAATAAAGTTGTGGAACAAATTCCGCTACGCGGGCACAAGCCGCGAGATCTGCAGCGTGATAGGATATGTCGGGCTCCGGGGTAGTGAGCATGATGTTTTCACGTCGAAGGCGTCTCCTCAATATCACTCCCCTTACACAACTCAGGTTGCAGTGTTGATTTGTAGGACAATTGTTTTTTTCTTCATAAACCAAGTCTGCTGTCTCCTCCTGCGGGTAGAGCTCTTCCCTTTGGTCATGACTGCAATTCGATAGCTTGTGCTCTTGCGTAACAAAATTCCACTGTAACTATGAATGAAACAAAAGCAAACCTTGCGAGTTAGTTGCAGACCTTAGTCCGTGGCATTCCTCTGATGCTTCCAAGTCCCCAGTATCCTCTGGTGCACATACACTTTCCAATGGGCCGATTTCAATTAGTCTAAGGAAATCAATCAGGCCTGCTAAGTGCCAATAGGACGGGCCCCGGGGAATAGGAGACTACGACATTGCCATGGAAACCAGGGTGTCTAATTTTGGAAACGTTTTCGACGAGTGTGCCTTGGTTTTCATTCTTCTCTTTGTGTTTCTTTCATTCTTTTTCCTAGGCCTCGGTTGGGAGATTTAGATTTGGTGGGCTTATGAGAATGTGAATGACAACCGGTAGTTTTCACTAGCTTTCAACTTCATTTTTTCACTAGAAAATCCTTTCACAAAGGAGCTACTACTGCACTGGGTAATAATGCTTGGAGAGAGAACTCACTCAATCGATGAAAGCTTGGTAGAAGGGGGATGAGGTTAAGCAGAGGTGAGAGACGAGGGGGGAGCCAGTATTTGACTAAAGTGGCTTCGAAACACCTCTAGTATAAAGCATATAGTAAAAAGTAAGCACGGCGGCCTAGGCCCGACTCACCTACTTCGAGGCCTCTTGGCTCCGGCCAGGGTAGATCCACAAGAGTTCCCTTATCACGGGCCCGCGTTTCATTCTACCTAGCCAACTCGGCCTGGTGTGAACAATATTCCGATGATTGGCCTAGGCCGATAGAGGCGGGATTCCATCGGCCTAAGGAAGCCTATCAACCCTAGTGGGCGCCTATAGGCCGGACCCTTAGCATTGGACAACTGTGTTTATAGAAAGCATGTTGTCAAGTTTAGAAAAAGTTTGCAAACACTTCGCATTTGGTTTCTTTCATTTTTCATGGCTATTTACTTCATCCTGAAGAGCCATATAAGAGGTTTGGATTTGGTTCACTCGCGGGAATGTGTATGACTACCTATAATTTGCCAGGGTCTTTTTCTTTCTACTAGAAACAAACCGTTTCTAACATGTACTGCTACCGGACCGCGCAGTAATGCACAGAGCTAATTCGCTAGGCAGGTGAAGGCTTGAGAGAACGCCAGCCACGTTGAACAGAATTTAAAAACAAAAGGGAAGCAAGCGTCTGGCTAGGTGAGCTCCAAAGGGTAGGTAGTATAAAACGTATACAGCATATAGGTAGGCCAGGCGCGGATCGGTTACTTCGAAGCCTATAGGCTCCGGCCCGGGTAGATCCTTGGGAATTCTCGTATGTCAGGCCCGGCTTTCCTTCGGCCTGGCCTACCTGGCCCTTTGGGAACAATGAATACCCCTTCAATTGGCAGTCTCCTCATGGCCTGTGCAAGATCGTGTAGAGGTGCATTACTGGTGGCAGGGTACAGAAAATCGACGACATGCCGTGAATACTTGCTAGCTTGGAAGAGTGGCCACTCCTCCCGCTCGCTGGCTCTAGGTAGCTTTATTGTTTAATCCACAGTTGTGGATCACCACAGTCACCTGTTACGTCATCATCGCGTTGAGGCTCAACACCACTTGGCTTACTGTCGTCCGCGGAGAGAAAATCCAACAGTTGTATTAAATCTTGAGGAAATATAAAGGTCATCTTGAAGGAAAGGAAATATGGTCACCATACGACGTGTTGGATGGGGAAGTGGATCTCCCACCGGCTTGAATCACTGTGGATTCGAACTTTGGTTGAATCTGAACTCTACAAATGTCACCCTAGACCGACTTCAGAGTTAGCCTCAAAAGAGGCCCAACATACTATTAGAATGTCGTATTTGGTAGACTGCGAGGCTCAAATACTCGTTTGTGTAATTTGAAGTACTCTTAGTTTTTCTAGGTGTGGTTTAGGTAAGGTAGCTATTATATGATTTGTTTGCTACAAGAAATGAAGATTTCCTGTATTATACATGGGAAGAATTTTCAATACACATCATTGTTGGTAACGACCGAATTGAAACTATGTCATCGAACAGTTTGAAAATACGAACGAGACCTTGTCAGTGCGAGTTTCGAGTGAAGTTCACTTAGGGAGCAACGTTTTTCTTTACAAACGAGAGCCTATCGACACGAACTATGCTGGGGAAGAGTTTCCTGCATACATTTTCTTTTCTTCAATGACTCGAAATTGATTTTTCAAGAACCCCTTAACTTCGCTACTCCCTCTTGCTACTATCAGCGTTTAATTGAGACTGTCAGATTTGGACATTATTCGTGGGTTTTGGTTGATGCACATCGCAGTCGTATATCCTAGCAGGTACAATACGTCATGAGGCAATCGAACGAAACCGGAATGCACACTACGAGTAAGTCGTTGATTGATGGTAAGCTCGAAGGCTACACGGGGTGACCCACGATCATGCGTTGAGCCGTAACGGTACGCGGGGACGTCGCCATCGCTGAAGAGGTGTCCCAAACCCTAACCCAGCACGTAATCGTCATTTGTGGCGGGCAGTGACAAGCTCGGCACGAGTACTCATACTTCACGTTGCAGCCATAGAAGGCCAAAGTCGAACGTTCATCAAGTTTTGGTTACCCTTCCGATTGGATAGGGTTAGGGGGGTGATTGCTGCCCACCACCCTGCCACCGTATAAATACCACACCTCACGACAACCCACCATCACACACCACCACCCACCATCATTATCACCGCGAAGGACACTTCTCTCCTACACAGAACATCTCTCTGACTCCCATAGCTATCAAGGACGTCAACAAGCTTATTACAACTCATAGCCCCAATTTTCTCAAGTAACCGACATGGTACCACATCAATCACCCCTTTCATCGGCAAGAACCTAACAATTTCTACCAACAACAGGGCAAACGTAAGAGGTCGACTCGCAAACCTACCGTCTTCAAAAAGGTATGTCACGCTACGTCATGCAAAACTACCCTGTCCATCCCCTCCTACTAACGAAATTATTGTCACAGAAGGAGCCCCTCGCAACCACCTTCATGTGCCTTTTCTGCAATAACCAACACACGGTTGCCTGCGTGCTCGATATAAAAGCCGGCATTGGCAGCTTGTCATGCAGAGCGTGTGGACAAAGATTCAAGATGAAAATTAATTGTATGTGACAGTTCTTTACCTCTCTACTTTTATTCCTACTTTTTCTTTTTCTTTTTTCACTTGGTTTGATTCGGTTGGATTTGGCAAATACACACGTCACCATTCTTTGCGTTTTCTCAAGGAGCTGCCACAATCTCCGGGGATTGATACCATATGGATGCTGGCCGCCCCCATCAATTGATGTGAACAGATAAACGTTAACATATTTGGATTGTGCCAATAGATTTGTCGGCCCCGATAGACGTATACAGCGAATGGGTTGACGCCTGCGATGAAATTGAGAACCCTAAAGTGAAGGTTCCCAGACGTGTCGGTGCCAGGAGTCGAGATGCAGGAAGAGGTGATCGAGAAGTGGGGGGTGGAGCGGCTAAGAACAAGAATCAGCGAAATCATGATGAACGCGAAGAACAAGCGGATGATGACAGCGATGGCAATAGTGATGGGTATGGCCGGAAGGTTTAGGTGATGGTTGACGATTATGTGGAGGACTTTGAAATGGTGCTGCGGCACTCTGGCCACCGAATCAACTACGGGATGATGAATGAATGGATCGGATTTTATCGCGTGCATGGCGAGGTTGATGTTACCCTAGTCTTTCTTTTTGGTCTTTCCGCTTTTTTATATCCTTGTTGTAAACGCACTGTGCTGCGCTCTAGATTATTTGTATAGAAGGGATTAGGTTTCTGATTAATTTTATCTTCGTTTACTTTTACTTTTCCTTACCATCTCTGTCCCTAATCGGTAATTGGGTGGATGGAGAAACCTATCAATTGCTTCCTCTAAACTTGCCCGATGGATGAACATATCCCCTCTCCCGCTCTATATAGGACCACAGATTATATGGACGGCTGCTATTTCCTTCTGTGAAAAACCTTGCTTGCTTGCAATCGGTTTTACCCAAATTTCATTCCCCCAATCAGTCAACCCGGCGTGGGGCGTATCCATGCACTTATATCAGAGCCAGACCGAATACGATATCATCAATTCCAAAAATACTAAGAAAGGTGCAAAACCTTTGAACACAACAGCGTAGATTGCCAAGGTCCCCCAATCCCAGAATGATATAATTAATCGTACCAGTTTGTTACCAAACCGA